TTGTTTTGATGACTGTCACTTTGCAGTATTATTTGAAGTTGGAGAGCATGATATTTCATTTTTGTTCTGTTCACTTAGGATTTTTTTTTTGCTATTACACATGATTCCTTGTTGTTATTTTTTTTTTTTTTTTAAAGATTTATTTATTTATTCATACAGAATGGGGTACAGGCCAGAGGCTCAGGGGCGGTGAGAGGCTTCACCAGAGACAGAGTGGGGAGCAGAACAGGCAGATCGACGAAGTACACTGCTGAGGGGAGCAGCGGGCGGGGCAGGAGAGGTCTGGCTCGCCATGTGGTTTTCTCCGTGGAAGGTGGGAATGGAACTCATGCGGAAGTGGCTTCAGATTCTCAGTGCTGTACTTTAACCCGCTGCGCCACCAGGGAGGGCCCTTGTTGTTATTTTTTTAATTTACAAATACATTTTATGATTTTATTCTATTTCTATGAAGAATTCCATTGAGATTTTTGAAAGGGATTGCATTGAATCTCTATATTGCTTTAGTCATTTTATTGATGTTCATTTTTCCAATCCATTAGCACTTTATATTTTTCTTACAGTGTCTTATAGTTTCAGTGTACAGGTTTTCATAATTTGGTTAAATGTATGGAAAGGTATTTGATTCTTTTTGATTCGATTCCAAATGGGATTATTTTCTTGATTTCCCTTTCTGCTTCATTATTTGTGTATAGAAAGGTAAATAGGTTTTGTTTATTAATTTTGTAGCCTACTACTCTACTGTATTTTCTTACTGTTTCTCATGTTCTATGCCTTGTGACAAAAGATATTGACAGAATATATCCCCCTTTTTTTTATATAGGTTTCTTTTCTTTTAAGATTATAATCTTAAATGTAATCTATTCCAGGCTTCTTTCACTGCATTTTGCAAGACATGCCTCATAAGCATGTAATGAAGAGAAGAGACAAAATTAGATCAACTAATTTCTTAGTTTTCAGAATAAGGCCACTGTTATGACAGTTTCTCAGTGGGAGTTTGCTGCTGATAAAATAGGCAGTAACTTAAGCAGGAAGTATTGCCTATTTATTGTGTTAGGACAATAGGCAGCGCAGGAGCTCAGTACATAAAAGGCAAGATGTAAAATTTAGGGATTTGAAGATGTTTTCACAGGAGAAATTTGCATATGTAACATTCTATTTTTGATCCTTCCCTGGGACCTGCTTATTTAATCAGTTCATAGAGGTTGATATTTTTGTGTATGACTTTTGGGTGGAACAAAGATAGCACCTAGTATTATGGTTTATAAATTATCATTTAATACTCAATGCATTGTTAAATCACTTCTTAGAAAAGTCTTATTAGTTTTGCAGCAAATATTTATAATGGGTGCTGTGTCTGGATCTCTTCTATGGTTAAGATTCCAGAAAACATAAAGACAAAGTGATTACAAATAATCATTTGTAAGTCAAGAAATATATGTATAACTAATTTGTGAAGAAATATTTCTTGATCCAGTGATAAGGTCTGTTTGGGGATGGCATAGAGGAGTGGTATGTCCTAGCAAACTTTGGAAACAGTATACCCACCGTGACATAACTGTGTGTCCTGTTCTTACTATTTTTATTCAAGAGAGATTTAGTTATAAATAGCTACTGTGTTTGTGAATGAGATGAAAAATTTTAGTGACCACTAAGGATATTTGTATCTTTTCTGATCACAAGGCCACATGGTGAAAAAGGAAAAAACCTAGCCCAGTAATTAAAACAGCCAAGTAGTCACTTTAAACATAAAGCAGTGGTGCTCAAAGTGAGTTCTGTATTGGCTAGCCATGTGACCTTGCACTTGTAATGTAACCTCTCTAAACTTCAGTTCCTCATTGGAAGTGAAAGTGCTATGTTTCTTAGCTATATCATAAATGTGTTAAAGTGAAATGAAGATACAAAAGAGCTATATTGATTGTAATCCCCTATCACCACTACAGGGTTGTTTTTAATCTTTTGTAATTGCACAGTTAATATTTATTATCAAAGATCCAAAGTACACGAAGCTTAAAAGGAACTCCCTGCTCCAACATATTAGTCTCTGCAAGTGACCAACTTGACAATTTGATGCTGAATTTTTTTTACATTTTATGAATGTGTGTTTACCTGTGTGCGTAGTTTGTATATTTTACATGTACACACACATATACACATACATAATGAGCATGTGCATCTTTTAAACAAAAATGTGTAACACAATAAGTGTACACATTTATTGTTTAATAAGATGAATTATTTATACATTTACACATATAAAGTGATATTTTAAATGTTTAAATTGCATATTCACATCTATAGCACTATAATAGTTATAGATAGCTATAAAATCATCTATGGGAAAATGCATTGCAATGGCATGAAGTAATGTTACATTTTATTTTACACAGTTCTCTACCATTATTATTTTTATCTTAAGCATATATAATTCATATTAATTATTAAAGACTGTGAAAGAACAGTGAGCTTAAGTCAACAAAATAGATGCAATATGATATTACCTAAGAGGTAAGCATAAATGACAGATCACGGAAGGAAAGATATAAAAAGGGTAATATATAAAAATAAATTGAAAAGTGAAAAAAGGAAGCAAAAATGAAAGGCATATGAATTTTTAAATGATCACTAAGGAATATAAAAAAACTGCAATTTTTGCTATGAATTTGCTTGTCATACATGACTTTCAACCCCTTTGTTGTGCTTTCTGTAGTTTCAGATCAATCTCTGTGTGAAAATATTACATATATGTTTTTCTTGAGAAAGAGAGAGCACATTCACATAATTTTTATTACAGTATATTGTTACAATTGCTCTATTTTACGATTAATGTTGCTAATCTCTTTCTGTGCTTAAGTTATAAAGTAAATTTAATTTATTTTTTTAAAGATTTATTTATTTATACAGAACTGGAGTATAGGCCAGACGTGCAGGAGTGGTGAGAAGATTCACTAGAAGCAAAGTTGGGAGCAGAACAGGCAAATCTTCAAAGAATACTGCTGAGAGAAACAGTGGGTAGGTCAGGCGAGGTCTGCCACACCATGTGGGTCCCTCCCATGGCCAGGGCTCAAAATTACACTGAAGTGGCTGTGTGAGCTTCACAGTGCTGCAGGAGCTTCGCAATATTTCACTTTAACCCATTGCGCCATCAGGGTGGGCTTATAAAGTAAATTTTAATATAGTTATGTGAATATAGGAAAAAACATAGTATATTTGCATATGGCACTATCTATGGTTTCAGGCATTCTCTGTGGTCTTAGAACCTTGTGTAACACAAGTCAAAGAGAAGCCAAGCCCAATGATATGCCAGGAGAAGGAGGATAAAATATAATCAGTGCTCATTTGTCTTACAGTTCAGTCTTAAAGTTTACATATCTTATTCAAAAATGTACTAAACAGTCATAAATAGTGGAGGGGGATGGGTAGGAATGACAGCCTAATGTCACCTGAAAAATATCTGTAGGTATAGTTTTTCTCAATGAATCCTTGTATCCTTTCCATTAACAAATCTGAAGTTTCAGAATCTACCTCAAGTCTACCTTTTTTCATTTTCATCACCTTCATCCCAGTTCAAGTTTATTCCCACCTGTTTTCACCTGTAGTGATCTCCTGATTAGCTTTTCCATTTCTATCTTGACTTTCTCTTTCCACTACCAATCTTCCTCATATGTTTGTAGAATAAAAATCAATATTCTTTGCATGAATATCTGTCCCCTGTTCATTTTTTGTTCCAGTCCCTTTTAAAGCTTCCAATTGTGTTATGATTACAGATAATGGTTCCTCACAGACTTTTCCAACCTCCTTTTCCCTAATCTGAATCGGGTCACAGTTTCTAGTTCTTTATTTATTTGTATGAAACTTTATCTGATGTCCCCATTCTGTTGAAGCTATCTAATAAATATACAGGGATTATACCACTATCCACTATCCTCTCTACTCTTGGGCATATTTAAAATTTATCATAAAAAATGTTTTATAGTTTCCCCTCAGATCCACAAACAAAAAGTTACTGCTTGCAATTTTCCTAACCTATTGTTTAAAATTTTATATTTGCAAAAATGTCCATGATGAATTTTTATAATTTTGTTTGGTAAGTATACTAGAGCTACATAATACCATTTTTTTCTTTTTTAAATTTTCTAATAGTTTATTTTTACATACTTCTGTGCATTTTTCCATCTCAGTTGCAATCCCCTTGGGTTTCCCATCACCAAATCACCTATGTGCTATCATCATAGTCCAGTGCATTTCCCTCCCCCCACTGTTTTTGATCCCATTCCCCACTCCACCCCCACAAAATGTCTCTGGTATATAGTTGTTCATCATTATCATTATTTTCTCGCATAGCAGGAATATAACGGAACAGGCGAGACCATAATACCATTTTTTAAACTTCAACAACAACAAAAAAGCATCTTCAGAAAAGTGAGCTTGATTTAATACTAGGTAACCTGAAAAAAAGCTGAATCTCAATTATGCTTTCACTCTATTTTCCACTAATGTCTTTTATTTGAAGGTAGCATTATTATTCAGTAAAAACCTGAACTGTTGACAAATTGGAGCTAGATTTATGATTGTGGTCTCATCTTATCTTTCTCAAAATATTTTATTGCATGTAATATTGTTGGACTAAAGTTCATTGCAAGTAACTGAACCACAGATAAGAGTTGCAAGTCATATATAAAAGAGCTGGTAGCAGAAACTGCATGCTCCATTTTTTTTCCCCTATTCTCTAGTGACTAATTCTGAAAATGTAGTTTTCAGTATTAGTCCTTTAAGTGCTTAACTGCTTCTTTTTTGAATAATCAATATAATAAAAAGGTGAAGTCCTAAATTTTTAACTTCAATTTTTCAACTTAATCTGTTCCCACAATTTGGAGGAGCAAAATTAATTCAGTGACAAATAATACCAATACCAATTTTGGAGGACCAAAATTAATTCAGTTACGAATAATATTTTTCTTAAACGAAGCAAGACCTTAAAAGCACTCCTCCCCGCCATTCATTCATAAGGTAGAATCAGTGGGGCTCAGAAAGTTTTCATCCACAAAGTCCAAAGCAGGATACAGTGTCTTTCTTTGAGAAGTCCTGCTATCATGAGGTTTCCCTCTTTTATTAGCATACTGGTGCAGCACGCTGTAGTAATGTGCTTTCGTATTGTAGGTATATAGTGATGAAATCTGCTTCCAGTCTTCAGTGCTTGGAATGTACACCTCTTCACTGCTTGGTTTGTGTTCCCCTTCTTTGGTTAAAGTGTTTTCATTTTCACTTAAGGTCTCAAAGAAACTTTTAGCATTCCTTTTTGCCAATTCACTTGCACACTTCGTGGCTTCACAATTAAAGAACTTCTGCTCCTGTTTCAAATAAATTTTCCAAAAATTCCGCTGCTGAAAACTAACTGGAGATTGACATCGGCCTAAACATGTACTGATCAGAAGGCTGATGCTAACCAAAGCTATCAGGATCCAGCCAGACACCTTAAGAAGACACAACAAAAGAGCCATTTACCTACATTTTTATGAGAAACTTAATAATTCTGAGATAAAGTTTGAAATAGTCTCCAGTTATGAAGATAAGAAGCAGGTTGAGCTTTTAATCCCTTATGAGGAAGGAGTGAGAGGACCTCCAGCACCCTCTTATACACTTGCTCTTCTGAGGACTCAGTCTTTCTATGCCATGTCAAAGACTCAGAGAGGAGTCTTTGTTTCACTCTCCTGAAATTCAAAATGTTGAATTATGGCAAATCCATAAAAATGAAAACAAGTATTCATTTTTATGAAACTCTGAACTTTATAACCCTATTAGTAATGTAGAGCCAGCCAGGCAGACCCATTGTGCTTTTAACAATTCTGCCTTCTGTCTGGACAGAGAACCTGGTTTGAATCAATTATTTACTCTACAGGTAGTTGAGATGTAAGAGAAAGGGGTAGGAGGCAAAAGACTTAGTAAGCTTGGGCACAGAATTGGTATCTGGCACTCTCTGAGTACCTTTCCTTTTCATTAGTTTTATTTTTATATTTGCCTTTTGATTTAGGAGAAACAAGTAGCTATTCTAGTTTGTTTTCTGGCGTCTTATATCTATAGAAGAGGGATTGGTTTTTCATCCTCTAACATTTGTGCCACCAAGCCCTCCCTCTCTGCCCCTCCAAGCTTCCTCCAGCACCAATGCCTGACCTGTGAGAGGGTCTTGAGTTGTTTCAGGATGGCCTGCACTTCATCCACCTTGGCCTTCTGGCAGGGCACCAATGGTAGCTGGTCAGTGCAGTTGCCGTAGTCATAGGTGCCACTGACATAGAGCTTGGAGCACAGATACTGTGCAATGTAGATACTCCCACTGCTGGCACACTCGAAAAATGTGCCCTGAAGCAGTGCCACAGCCACCCAGGTGAGAGGTGCAAGCGCTGTGGTCCAGCTGAGATGACAACAAATTCTGGTCTTTTGGAGGCATATGCCAAGGCTCATTGGGGGACCCACTTTGCAGCAACCGGTCAGCAGACGCCAGATGTTTTCCCTCACCAAGTAGCCCAGCAAGAAGAGCACCAGTGCAGGCACCAACAGGAAGACCAGGCCATAGGACAGGTTCCAGGTGGCGTGGCAGGGGCACTGGAATACTTCAGTAGAGAAGATGCGCTCCCCACTGGCTGTGAGCAAGGTCACCAGGCCATAGATCAGCATACTGCGGTACTGGAATTTCAGCTCCTGCACCTCCTTAAACTTCTCCATGAACGCCCTGACCCAGGTTGCCATGCTCAGGTGTTCAGGTGCTTCTACCGCTTTGCTACTCCTGGTGTGGTCTGGGTGGGCTGGAGTCTGGAACTTTCTGTTCTTTGCAAAGAAATGGCTTCTGTAAAGGAAAGAGGTCTTCTCAAGACTGAGGTTTTGCTTTCATATTACAGCCAACAGCTCTGGCTGACAAACAGACCCAAGAGCATGCCTCTGACCTCCCCCAGTATCCACCCCTCCCTCGTGGCAAACACACACTGGAACTTTACTTTTTCCCAATGCAGGAACACTGATAACATTGTTCCAGTATTATGTTTGCTTTTACCTAACTGTTAATGGCCCAGGGGAATTTCCTTATGTTTTCTGATCCAATGCACGTGTTCAGCGGAAAGAATATTTTTCACTTGGGGAAACTGAAAAAACAAACAAACAAACAAAAAAACCCCAGATTTTCTCTATTGCAGCCACCCTTGTTCTTAAGTAAATAACCAGTATGACTATACAGTTATAAAAACAAACAGAATTTACAGGAAATATCATTCAAGGACAAAATTCTGGTTTCTTTTTCATAGCCAAATCACAGCGTTCCAAAAGCTGAACTCAAGTTCTGTAATAGTAACTCGATGGTTTTTTGTTACCTTTCTACTTCCTTTTGTAAAGAACTGTCAACCTGTTTTTTCCTTTTTCTGATTTCTTGCAAGATATTAAGCTAAATATATTGCCTTGACTTCTGCCTCTCTTACTGGTATGCCATAAGACTGGTCAGTACCTGGAAGACTATCAGTTCTTACTCTGTCATTACCAAGTTGTTGGGAATGTGACATGTTCATTCACTTGCAAAACCAAAAATATCGACTACAATCTGAAAACATTTAACTTAGGTGCTTCCTCTACCTTCAGTTTTATTTTTTTTCTTATTTATTTTTTTCTCCTTTTTATTTTTTACATCATTCTTCATTTTGTGCACTTTTTCCATCTCAGTTGTAATCTCCATGGGCTTCCCTCCATCAATTTGCCTGTGTACCATCTCCACATTCCAGTGTACTCTTCCTACCCAGTTCTGATCCCATTCTCCCTTCTACCCCCATAAAATGTCTCTGGTTTATAGTTGTTCATTGTTTTCATTTTTTCTCTACTACCTTTGTTTGTCTCTCTTCCCACCCGGCCCCCATGCTCCTGCTATGATTGAAACCATCCAGTATTTTTCTATTTCTTTCTGGCGTATTTCACTAAGCATGATCCCTTCCAGCTCCATCCATGTTGCTGCAAATGGCATGAGTTTATCTTTTTGATTGCTGAATAATATTCCATTATATCTATGTTCCACATCTTTTTAATCTAGTCATCTATTTTTTGGGCATTTGGGTTGACTCCACATCTTCCCCATTGTAAATAAAGTGACAATAAACATGGGGGGTGCAGGTGTCCTTTTGAGTCAATGTTTTTGATTCCTTTTGATAGGTACCTAGGAGTGGAATCGCTGGGTCATGTGGAAGTTCCATTTTTAGCAGTTTGAGCAACCTCTAAGTAGCTTTCCATAGTGGTTGTATCAGTTTTCATTTCTGCCAGAAGTTGGGAGAGTTCCTTATTTCTCCACACCCTCACCAACATTTACAACATGGACTTTTCTATGACATAGATGTTTTCTTACATCTTATTGCTCACATCAATTTGTAGGTAATGCTCTCTATGAAAAAAGCATTTGCTTGCTTTTACTATGCTTAAGCATAGGAAAAAAAATTGTTTTTATCTTTAAGGCATAGGCAAGGAAGTAAGTACTAATAAGTAATATTAGTCAGGTCACTAATTTCATAATGTCTTTATTATTATAATTCCATAATCTTTTATTAGTTTTTATTTTCATGAAATTTCACCTATTAATTTGTTAGAACTCAAAATTATTAGAGAAACTGTATCTGACCCTTCTTTTTTCATGTTAGCATTAGCAAGCGAAATGAGGGAAATCAATGAATGCAGGGTTCTACAGTGTTGCCATGTTCTGATTTTATCACCTGCTTTCTGTGAAAATATTAAACATTACAAATACTCAGCAGTTCCATATTACTCATGACCTTGAATTCAGTTTTGCTTTTTAGTGTCTAGAATTCACAGACTTTTAAGTAAAATCTATAGAAATTTATTTTTTCATTTCTTTTCAGAGTCTATGTTATCTATTGGAGGAGAGGTGCTTACTGATGTGTCTATATTCCTAAAGTTCAAACAGCCATTCTAGTTTCTGTAGATCTTTGTTTCCCAAGTGTACAATCAGGGTGTGAATTAGTGGGGTGCCATGAATAAAGTGGTGGCTAAGTAGTGATTCAGAGGTGACACATAAAATAAATTATTTACATAATTTGCACTTTTTTACTTCTTGATTCATGATTAGAAAAATGGCATTTCTCTTACAGATTTCAGCAAATTTTCACAACATGGTTAGTGACAATTTTAATTGACTTAAAATTAGCAGATATGGATTATACTCCTGCAAATGTCTCAATATATGAAGTCCAATTTTGTGTCTTAATATATTTCATTTTCAGATCAGAAGTAAAACATGTATGCTTTGCAGAGGGTTAGTGAGATTCTAAGTATATGGTTACAATAAAATATTCTTAAATCTCCAGAGCATTAAGATGCACAAAAGGTGCTATATACATTTATTTGCAGTGTATACATTTCTAATTTACTTGACTAGAACAAGTCATTAAAGTGTAAAATATGACAAAGAACTATCATTTCTTGATTATAGAATGCATTATACTAGACACATGTCTTGCATTGTTTTTCTTTACAGTTGGTGAATACATGTTACAATTGTTATTCAAACAAAAGACACAAAAATCTGTAGGGTGATGAGTGAAAGTTGTTTCTTACAAAAGGTATATATGATTGTGTTATTTTCTTGGTGAATTGAGCTTCCCAATGGATTTTTTATGAGGTAAAGATAAATATTATAAAGTGCACACATCTTCATTTTTACATATATATACCATATTTACATATATACACCATAAGAACACTTTTTGGAAGTCTCCCTTATGTTCTTAGTCGCACCTCTTGATAAGATGCAGCATTCTGCTTCCTTTCACCTTTGGTTAATTTAGTCTGTTCTTGACTTAAAATAAATCATTTACGTACTTTTTTGTGTATGGTTTTTTATGATTGATCATTATGTTAGTGAAACTTAAGCACATTGTTGCATTCAGCATTACTTGGTATTTTAAAAATGTGTACATATATTCCATTGGATTTACTTTATTTCTCTCCTTTCTGTGGACATCTCGGTTACTGCCAGACTTTGACTTTATAAGTAAATATTCTAAAGACATCCTGGTAGTCATCTTCTGATGATGGACGGATGCATTTTCTGGCAAGAATTATGCTTTTCAACAAATATATTTATGACAATTTCAGTTCAGATCCTAGTTACTATTATTACTGCGGTCTGCTTTTCATTTGATTGGTTTTCCTCTTTTGGTATTTCTGTCACAATGAGTTTGCAATTGTACCTTTCTTTCCACATCCTTTTAATTTTATGGTTTTTATCTCTTTGTCCATTGGCACTGCCTTTCGAAAGAATTCCATGATTTGATCTTTCAGATCTCTAATTAAATCTTCAAATATGTGAAACCTGCGATTGAGTCAATGTTTGTTAAATTCTTCTTTTGTAATTACATGCTGAATTTTCAAGTACTCTTTTCATCCTTTTTCATTGCAGGTTGTTCTTTTACTGTTAATTTGTAATGCTTTAAATGGCCTCTTGGATTTTTTGTCTTAGCATTTCTTATTGATGCTAATATTTCATTTGTGATTTCATTTCCTTCAAATTTCTTTACCTTTCTCATGGTGTTACTTCTCTTCAAATTTCTATTGATTTTTGAATCTATCGATCTTGTTTGTAGATGAAGTTCTTGACCAAAATTATGGCCACATGTATTATCTCTGTCCAAGTAATACTTTTTTTTCCTCATGGTAACATATGTGATTGTTGTCATGGATTATAGTACCCTCAATTCTTGTACAATAGCTATATATGGGTGTGTGTGTGTATAAGTGTGTGCACAGGTCTGTACTGGGGACCTAGAAGGATATTATATGACTAAAGTATAAAATCCTTGATCTCTGAGTATGGACTTCTTGCCTTTAGTGATAGCTATATCTAGGAAAACTTTATTTTATCCCAATTCCACTGCCTACTCCATAAATGTCCAATGTCAGATCTTCCGTGATTATATACTCAAGATAGACACTAGACTCAACTATTTGATTCTTCAACTACTTTGGTGAATTGCCCATTTACCAATCCTTTCAAACTTCCCCTGCGTAAGTTTCACTGATAGCACTCACTACAGGTGGGCCCTTTATTTTCCTGGATGGTTTTCCTCGCTTAGGTTTTTATGTTTATCAGTTGCTTGCTATTTTCCAGAACGTTGACTATTCTGATTAATTGGTTACAGAATCCAGGATTGCAGCATTACCAGAAATTTATTTTTCAGCTATATTATACTAATTGAATATGGTGTTGTGAAGAGATAAATGCTTGAGTCTAGTTAGCTTAAATCAGATATCTTGTGTGTGATTTCTAATATTTCTATCCATAGCATCATATCAGACAGACTAATGCACCAAAGTCTCTATGGCATGTATTATGTGTTGACATTTGACTGATTTCAGAATCCAAGTTCTTTTTAGTGCTCACCTTATTTTAAAGTAATAATCAAGGGCACAAAGGACCAGGTCTTTGTGTTTTTATTTAAGACTTAAAAATATTACTTATCTTCTCATAATATCTTATGTGGCTTTGTGTCTAATGGTAGGTTTACACTCAAATAAAAAAAATAATTGCAGATAGTGGATCTGACAGCATGAGTGGATTAGTGTATTCAACAGTGGTTTGATCATTAGAGGAAAAATACTAATTCAAAACTCCACATTCCATTCTTTAAGCCCCTTTCTCATTATAGTTAAAACATACACAGTTCATTCCCCATTATTTTTCA